CCTATTGATTATCCTGTTGATTATCCTGTTGATTAATTGAGTGATCGCATTAAAACAAATTGTCAGTTTCTGCAATAACTACTTAGGCTTATTTTCTGATTAATACAATTATTTAATTTTATGATGCTGCAATTAAAGTAAAACTACTGTACCAGTTGTATTTAATTTCTGCATTTTAAGTTCAATTGTTTGTTTGTGTGTGAGGTTTGAGGAGGCATTCATTAAAAGCACTCTGTCATTGAATCATTTTTAACCATCACAGAAAAATCTAAATGCTGTAAATTTATTTTTGTTTATTGGAAATCAGAATGTGATTTTTTTTTATGCTATAAATTGGGTAAGATTATAGGCCTGGTAGCTGCTATGATCAGTCAGTGGAAATATCATTAGCCAAAATATACCTGCTGGTACGTCTGTAGCATGGCAGATCATCACAGATTTAGGTAAACATATTTTGCAACAAGAACAAAAACGATGCCTATTGTTAACGTTGGAGTGTTTGTTGTACAGTGGATGTTTTCTGTTCCAGTGCTGAACACATTGAGGACATGCAGCATGTGCACTGCTGTGTTGTCTTTTCTGTTTAGTTTAAAATGTTCCCACACTTTTGACAACTTCTGTCGTTTTCTGGACGCTTCATTTTGGGAYTCTTTGTCTCCTTCATAGCTAAAAGTAGCACTTAGCATACAACAGTAAATAGCGCTAGCATTGTGCAATAAAATAACAGTCCAGCCGGACAAAAGTGAGCTGAATAGTTTAACTGTGTCTATTTCYAACAAAKCTTCGAAGCAGATAATTTACCTYGAGGATTTTTAGTAATTGAGATACTCAAATTCTTTGAGGAATAGYTTCAGCCCTAAAAGTGTAACAATGACGTGTTTATTTCTCTTCCAGTGAATGATCTGACCAGTGGCTCCAGCTGGAACACAGTATCCGTCACAGTRGGCGTGTATGTTGTGCTCAAATTCCTGCAGGGTGGAGGTGCAGGTAAATGTGACCACAAAATAAAACCCGGCATATTTTAAATAAATACTGAACACCCACTGCCTTTCATTCCACAATATAATATATTTTGTTTTGTTGTCTTTTCTTTAGGTTCCTCCGGTTTTGTCAGTAATTTGCGCAGTTTCCTCTGGATCCGGGTGCAGCAGTTCACCAATCGCGTGGTTCAAGTTCGCCTGTTTGGCCACCTGCATGCCCTGTCTCTGCGCTGGCATCTGGGCCGCAAAACAGGCGACGTGCTRAGAAGCATCGACCGTGGAACGTCCTCCATCAACAGCCTGCTCAGGTACAACGTCACACAGATTCATTTGTTCATTTAATGATGGAAAAAAAAGCCTTTGTAGTGGAACTAATCAAGAAATGTTAGTGTTTTCTCTTGTGTTTTTAGTACCACCTGGGTGTGTGTTCGGTTTCAAACATTTTCCAGTTAATCATAAAATTAACCCAACTGTTGTTTGTCTGTTTTTGTTTTCTTTGCAGCTACATAGTGTTCAGCATCTTTCCAACAATCGCTGACATCGTCATTTCCATCATCTACTTCAGCACAAATTTCAACGCCTGGTTTGGCCTCATTGTCTTCATCTGCATGACCGTGTACCTAAGTAAGTGGTGATCTWCAACCAGAATGATGACCATAAACATGATCAAAGTGTTCTGATGGCCTGTTGTTGCCCTTTTAGCTTTGACCATCATAATCACAGAGTGGAGAACCAAGTACAGGCGAGACATGAATCTGCAGGACAACGCTGCCAAGTCGAGAGCTGTGGACTCCTTGTTAAACTTTGAGACGGTACTTCCAACTTTTTATCTTCTGACTCCAAGTTTGACTAATCAGGACCATAACAATGCTGATAAAAATCGCATAAAACCCGAGAAATACATTTTAGACTCAGTTTGCAAGTTAAATGTAAACTTTCAAGACAGTAAAATTAGAAAAACAGTCGAGACAAGTTTAAGTTGTTCGGACGGGTTGCCTGAAGAAAGTCTCTTGTTTCTTAGGAGAACAAACTGTGTCTAAAATAATAACACAGGACTCATAGAAGGCACGTCTTCTAGGAGTATTTTGTTTAACAAAGTATTTAACAAAGTTTAGCAAAGTATTCAGCRTTTCACCTACCATTATACGGCCCGCCCCTCCAAGAATTTCACAGCATTTAGTCATTTTTATTTAAATAAAGGCCAAATCAAGTCGAGAGCTATTTTTTGCGCCCCTCCATATCCACCTCTTGCCAAACCTGGGGGCGGGGGTGGATGGCGCAGAGCGAGGCTGAGCGCTGTGTGTGGTCCTCACAAAGATGGAAAGGTGTGTGTGTGTGTGTGTGTGTGTGATGAAAACTCTTTATGATCACGTAGCACCGATGCGACAGCTTTGCAAGCTACTTTTTCTTTCTTTAAAAGAAAATGCGACAGGTGAAGCCACAGCATGGTTACCTTATCAATAATTACTTTTATATATTACAACAAGAATCACCAACACAGACCCCGCATGTGACCAGGTTCCTGCGAGCAGGGTTTGACAAATCCTATTGCCCGACTGCCCGGGGCAGGTAAAACCCATATTCAGGCAGGTAAACCATTTCTTCAGTTTTTCATAGGGCCATTTATTCAAAATATTCTGAAAACAAATGAAGAAATAGTGTTTTAAACCATGTATAGAGAGAGAATAAATCCTCAAATTTACCCCTCCCCTGTAGAAAAGTTACATCATACTGTCGTGTAGTGGGATCTTTTCCTCCTCCTTCCTGCTGCACGTCGCGCAGAGCGAAGCTTTAATAACCATAGTTTTTTCACCCAAGTTGTCTGAGAAAAAAACTTGTTTTTTTT